TAACAAATGAAAACCTGCTTAACCAAGATTAAAATTAAAAGTTCATTATAATGATATAGTAGATTGTTATGGACATCTGTCACAGAAAAAGCATAACTGAACCTTACTTGAACAGGAATTAGGAACTAGAAAGTCAGAAACTAATGCTATGTATTCCTTTTCATTCTTCCTCAATCTCATTTTTGCAGTAATATTTCTCTGCTTACTCATAGGTTTTGCTTCTCATAATAAGAGTTGCCCTAGTGACTTCCATGTGTCAGTCCTTGGCCCACCTGCCTCCTACCCACTACTGGATCCTTTAAATCTGTTACTTATGGTTCATAGTAAAATTAGAGGCATATCAGAATAAAAAGAAGAAATAAGATTGGAGAGACTGATAGCAGGATGTTTTTTTTTTAAGGAGGTGTACTTAAGTACACCCTTAAGTACCCCAGTGGTACTTAAGGGACTAATAATAATAATAATAACCCTGTGCTGCTGATCTAGCTTTCCATATCACATGCAAAAGTTGTGCTCCCATCTTTTGAGCTCTTTCCCTGATCTTCATGGCAGTTTTGTTTTCTTTGGGGGCTTTGGCATCACAACTCACTCTGCTCAGGGATTACCACTGGCTCTCTGCTCAGGAGTCCCTCCTGGCAGTACTGAGAGGGAGGGAGAGAAAGAGGGATGGAGAGAAGGACCCTATGATGTACTGGGTATCAAGCCAGGGTTAGCCGCCTAAGAGGCAAATGCCTTGACCTTCTATTAGCATAGTCCCTTTCATAGCATCTTTTATGGGTGAAAAGTGAGGTTTTATTAAATGTGACCTGCTGTCTAGGTGCACTCCACCAGGAGAAGCCAAAACTTGAGTTTCCCAAATATTTCTGTGGTAGCACTGTCTTTATGAGCCTTAAGAAAGGGAAATGTCTTGCTTCTGTGTCTTTTTTTGGTGTGACACTTTTCCTTAAGAGTTAGTATCTTTCCTAACTGAGGTTCCATTTGATTTTCTTTTTTTTAACTTCTGAGTCATACCCAGCGGTGCTGAGAGCTGGCTCTCTGCTAAGGGATCATGCCAGGGGATCATACTTGTGCCCGTAGAATCAGGGTCAGCCATGTACAAAGCAAGAGCTTCATTTTTATTTTTTTACTGGTTTTGGGGCAACACCTGGCAATCTCAGGAGCAATTCCTCTCTGTGCACTCAAGAATTACTCCTGGCAGTGCTTCGGGTGCCAACCTTATAGGACGTTGGAGATGAACCCAGGTCAGCCATGTGCAAACCAAGCCCCCTACTACTGTACTATCTCTCTGGTATCAAGGCAAGTGTTTTAACCCCTGTATTATTATTCCCTATGGTTCCATTTTTATTAATTTTCTTGCTGCACAATTTTCCTGAACTTTTCCAACATGGAAATCAAGCTACACTCCCAATCTGTACATCATTCACATTGTTCCACTGGCAGAAAATATAAACAGACGAAGATGTTTTCAGGGGCCCTGTTTTCTCAGTTACCTTATTTTCTGTTGTATATGTAGGTACCTTGAAATTCTAGGTTTGCTCAAACTTAAAAATCCTATTTTTTGTTTCTTGGTGATTGTTCTTGTGTTTTTTGGTTGTTTTCCCAGCTGGGCTCAGAGGCTCCTACTGGTTCCAGTGGTGGCTGCTGCTGGTGGCCCACTGGGGATCAGCCCCGGGGAAGCATCAGCTTTGAGCTCCCTCTCACCCCTTGGTGATCTTGGTTAGCTGGTTTATTGCTGTGTTGGTTTGTTTTGGGGAGAGAGTCACAGATGTGCGCATGGATCACTCATTGGGAGTCAGCAGTCTCTTGTGATTATGCTCGTGAGGTAGAAGTCATGTGGTAATACGTGTTAAACTCATGCCTCCTGCATGTAGAGAACATGCTCCAGCCTTTTATGCATTTTTCCCAGCCCACAAATTCTTTTCAATGAAATTTTTTCAGTCTCTTTTCACTGACTAGCCCCTAATAAATAGTGGTTGGTATCTATTTATTCGCATAATTCATGGCTGGTTGTGATGCATTCAAGAATGAAAGTATCCTGCCTTTTAGAACTTCTGTTTGTTTTGGCCACACCTAGCAGTGCTCAGGGCTTATTTCTGGCTCTGTGCTCAGAAATCACTCCTGATTAGGCTTGGGAAACCATATGGGTGCCAGGAATCGAAACCTGCTTCACCATGTGCAAGGCGAGTACTATATTCTCAGTGTACCATCTCTCCAGTACCTAGAACTGAAATTTAAGGGTAGGAATGCATAAAAATTAAAAGTTTGTAAATGTAAAGATAAATAAAATGTAATAAGTAACAGAAACCCAGGAGGTTTACAAAGTTTACTCAGATTTCAACTTGTGAGGAAGAAATGGTACACCTGTTTTTAGAATGGTGACCTCTAAATTACTTGAGATGAATATAAATTAAGTGTACCACTAGGACTGTAGGATTGATTTAGTACATGAAATAAAATGAACAAGCAGAATGTATGGCTCTATGTAAGCAGATGGTCCGTTTGTAACCATTTTCAGGAAACTAACCTTTACGTCATTGTTCTTAGGAGAAGTGAGATATGGACAAAATTAAGCAAAAAACAAAGTTGTGGGTTGTGGTGTTTTTGTTTTTTAAAGCATTTTAGTTATATAATTCGTTGGCATCCAGTATATTTAGAATATTGTTCAACGATCATGATTTTTCAGGACCTTTTTTTTAATCATCCCATGCAAAAAGTTTATTAAATAGTCACTCCCAGTTTGCTAGTACCCTGTTTTCTACAAACTATGGTTTCATTATGCTCTCATGATTTATTCTTTGCATATTCTTGGTACTCGTATAAATAAGAGTCATACAATGTTTGTCCTTTTTGACTTACTCAATTTAATGTATCATCTTCAGATTTCATGCTGCAGCTTGTCAGAAGTTATTTTTATTTATATTTTGTCGTACATGTCACATTTATTGTTGATTTGCATTTTTCGTGCTACTGTTGAATGCCACAAAGAATATTACTGTGTGAAAGTCAGAGAAATGATACAGGGGTTACATACAGTACATGACCCAAGTTCTGTTCCTGGCCCCTCATCTCTGGGGGATGACCCTAGAGTACTGCACCCTTGTGCCCTAGCACTGAGTTATAAGCGTCACTGAGAGAGCGACTCCTTTGGGCTCTCTGAGCAGTGCTTGAAGATCTGGTTGGGGGGAAAATTATTATTATTTTTTTTTGGATGGACATATCCCAAGGAACAGACTTGGCTGGAGCATTTGGAAATTTTGGGGTTTGGTTTTGTTTTTTTGAGGAACAGCCAAAGTTTTCCATTGCATCTGCACCATATAACTTTAATCAACAAGGGTTCTAGTTTTCTTTTTTTAACATCTGTGGGAGTGCTTTTTTTTTTCCCACTAAATAACAATGAAATTCTTTGAACATTTAAAATTTTTCTCTTCTGTTGAGTTTAGGGTTTTGTTTTCTTGTTTGTTTCCTTTCTATAGATTATCTCTTTTTTTCTCTATAGAGTGTTTTTGAGAGGATGCCAAACGTCAAGGGGGTTGGGTTGCTAAGGACTGACTTTTGGCCCTCTGCTTAAGGATCATTCTTGATGTGTGTGAAGATCATAATTGGGGCCTTAACCTTTGAACTAGCCCCTTGTAGTAGTGTGGGGTTTTCGGGGTGTGGGGGTATAGTTTTTATTGTTGTTATTTGGGGGAAGGTAGTCAAATTTGGTAGTGCCCTGGGTCTCTTCCTAGAAATGGTGCTACCTGTTCAGTGTCATGAACATTTTTCCTATGGTTTATAGTTTTAGTTCTTAAATTAGATATTTTGACCTAAAGTATTTTTAAAAACTAATTCTTTTTATGAATACATTGAGGTCCAGCTTAAAGGACATTGGACTTAGCCTGAGTCATCTGTTGAAAAAATTCACTATTTCCCATGATTAGTCTTTGCCTTCCTCATACATGTGAAGTTTTCATTTAAAAATATAATATTATCCAGTTTGTGAACCTTAGAGACACAGGTACAAGCTTTTTATCTTCTTTTATCCTATGTCCGTGTGTGTGTGTGTGTGTGTGTGTGTGTGTGTGTGTATGGATAGTTGTGCCATTTGTCTAAGAACTTGAGTGTCTTATTTCTTGCATACTAATTTTACTAAAATTAGAAGTAGTTAAAATTCAATCGAAATACCATATAGAGCAGTGAAACAAAACACAACAGTTAACAGAATTGGATGCTAAATTTTTGTTGTTGTTTTGTTGTCTTTAGACCACAGCCAGCTTTCAGGGCTATCTCCTGACTCTGAGCTCAGGGATCAAGGGGTTCAGGGGACCATATGTGGTGACCCGAATCGAATGTGGCTTAGCCGTGTGCAAGGCCCTACCCACTATACTACTATTTTTCTCGGCATAGATGCTAAATTTTATTGAATTTGAAATCACTACTATTATTTTGAATAGGAAGTAGGATTTACTCATGCTCAGAAGTACGGGTACTACAGTACAGGGAATCTGTGATTAAGGATATGTTTTATACCACAGCCATCTGGAGGAGCTGCTTTTGAGCCACCAAGTCTTTGTTTGGTTTGGGTTTGAGGTGATGCTGAAATGCTGACTTCTGACTTTGTGTTCAGGACTTGGTGTCCTGGGATCAACCTGGGTCTTCAGTATATAAGTATGGTCTCTGAGCTGTCCCTGTCGTCTGTTTATTTTTATAAATCTTCAATAGGAGCTGTTGCTCAGTGGTGCTCTGTGCAGTGTCCAGGATAAAATTTAGGGCCTTTGACTTGCTCCATCCTGGCCCCAGCCACAAAGTCCTAAATTGATCCACATTAAGCTTTGTGTTAGCACCACTTCCTGGAAATGTGGCTCTTCTGTTATCTAGGGAACTTGGACTTGGTTCTAGTAGGCATGATGACTCAGTCACTGTGGACCCTGGCCACTGTGCCCTGGGGCTTTCCAAATGCATCCCAGTACCTGTCTAGACCCAAAGATTAGAGACAAGTCAGGTATGAATTTCCACTGAAAGACAATTTCCCAGGTCCCTTTGGGCAGTTCAAGCAGTAGTCTGCATAACTGGCAAGCAAAGAAACTACTGTTTGCACTGGCCCGGGCATTGCATACTGGGCCCTACAGGGAAAAGAGTATGGTTGCCTTAATTAGCTATAGATTGAGCTTCAGTTTAAAGATACATACTAACTATGCATATTTAATGTACTATACATATCTGTATGGGCTGGAGCGATAGCACAGCGGTAGGGCGTTCGCCTTACACGCGGCCAACTTGGCCGACCCGAGTTCGATTCCTCCGCCCCTCTCGGAGGGCCCGGCAAGCTACCGAGAGTATCTCGCCCGCACGGCAGAGCCTGGCAAGCTCCCCGTGATATATTCGATATGCCAGACACAGTAACAACAAAGTCTCCAATGGAGACGTTACTGGGCCCGCTCGAGCAAATCGATGAACAATGGGAGGGCCTTTACCTTTACATATCTGTATACACCTATATAAAATGTTTCATTTGAAACTTTTCTTTGCTCTTTAGTGGGAGAGGCAAAATTTATAATTGTGTTCTACTGAAGTATCAGAATTTGATAGAATAACCACTTGGGCTAATGTTAAATAGTTTGACAGAGCATAATTTAACAATTTCTTTTCATCTGTGACTTAGGTATGTGACAATCATCCTAGTGTTGCTTTTTTCTATGAGGTAATATGAAAGAAATTGTACTCTGAAATTTTTGTGATAAATAGAATAACCATAGAGATTTCAAAAATAAATAAGTCGGATTGAGTAAATTTTAGCCATGATAGGTGTGTTTTTCAGGAAGTAGTTGTTTTTTACGCCCTAATAGAAGTCGATGTCATCCAGAGACTGCTCCATCTCAGAGTAGGCCATATATTAATAGTTGGGTCTCTTAGTTTTAGTTTTCCCTCTTTGATTTTGGGGCCATACCTGGCAATGCTCAGGGATGGTTCCAAAATTAAACTCCTGGTCAGGGTTGGTCACTCCTGGGCTGTGCTCTAGGGATTGTGTGTTGCAGGGATTCAAACCTGGGCCTCCTATTGGAGCTTTTTGCTTGACTCTTTCTTTCCATTTCTTACTCTGTGCAGCATACCTCAGTTATGGTGTGTCATTTCAATGATTTGTCACTCTTTTTTAGATTTTTTTGACTCAAACCCAGCCCATACTCGCACCTATGAGGCACTACCACTAAGCTATATCCCTCTATCTAGACCTGTTTCAGCCTGTCTTCACAGCACTGTAACTCCCTAATTTCATTTTTATATCTGCCACATATTCTTTTAATTTCCTATAAGGAGACAGTTCTAATTTTTATTAAGTATAATGAATGTATTTGACAGCTTAAACATATACCATTTCTGTTACTGTAGAAATTAATGTTGGGAAACTTCATGCTAGATACTTAACACTGCAAGTAAAAATATGTAGAAGTATTTTTAGTGCCTTTCAAATTGTCTCCAATCTCAGCTGAGTCTTAGTACCAGTCAAGTCCTTTCTATACTCCTTTTGAACTTCAATTCCCTGAAGCAGTCCAAATTAGCACTACTCAACTTCCTCCTTTTCTCTTAGTTAAATGACCTTTCTCCTGCAGTGGAGAGGAAGTTGAGGTTGTAGGCAGGAACCCCTTTTACTTCCTGTCCTTATACCTATTTTTGCACCTTTCCTTGCTACCCTTTCTCTTGCTGAGATGTGTCTTTTTAAAAATTTGACCAATCTAGCAAATGTTTTGGGCACTTGCAGTATCCTAGAGAATATTTTTTAATACTAAAGTTTGACCATGACACAGTTTCCCTGTATTTATATAGTTCACCCTCTAGGCTGAGTTAGACACCAAGCAAAATAAGTCGTTTAGTATGTAAGATCTTAAGTCTTAAGACAAAATATAGTACCTGGTAGGAAATGTTAGCAGGAATAGAAAAATGGAATGGAACTGGAGACACAGTGCAAAGTAGGACATCCCCTATGGTTCCTGAGCACTGCTGGGTGGGGCCCCAAAATAACCAAAACCAGAATTACTGATTCTGGCCTGGAGTTACATATAACTCAGTTAGAACCTCCTGTGCCATGCCACCTTGCCACCGTACTCCTTTGCTTCATATCCCAACTACATAAAATACATTCTGACTTTTTGTACTCCTTAATTTCTTACCTTTCGATAGCATCTGTATTTGTTGTAGCATTTCTTCACTTTCTCCATACTACTAATAAGATGATGATTAGAAAATACACTGGTTCTCCATCCCTTGTTTACTAATTTATCTTATTTTGACGCTGTGATAACTATCCTGGAAATTCTTTATTGTATTGCATCTTTTTCAGGTTTACCTACTCGTTATCAGTCTTTGCCTCTGTGTGTGTGTGTGTGTGTGTGTGTGTGTGTGTGTGTGTGTGTGTGTGTGTGTGAACACTCATGTTGATACCAGCTGTGAAAACCTTTTTTAGTGTTCTGTTTTTTCTCATGTTTCCATTTAAAACACTAACTTGAAAATTTTCTGTGTTCCTCTTCCGTATTATGCTAGGCACTGGTCAAATGAAAATCTCTGCCCCTTTGGTCCTAAATTTTGCTGGATACATGGTTTTGTTTTGGTTATTTTTCTTTATTCATTTGGGGTTTGGGGCTACACCATACCTTGCTCGGGGATTACTTTTAGCCTTGGCAGTGCTCGGGGGCCATATGGGATGCTGGGGCTGGAGCCCCGCTTGACTGCTTGCAAGGCACAGTACTCATTCACTGTACTCTATCGATCTGGTTCCTTTGGTGGATATATGGTACATAGTAGAGTACACTTATCTTGCGTGTGTGAGGCAGTGGATTTTATCCCCAGCCCTGCTCCACTCCCAATAAATTAATCACTAATATAAATGATGTACTATGGTTGTTTAGTTACTGCAAGGGAACAGGAAAGGAATGGGAGTGGAGAGGCCAATTAGAGCATTGAAAAGGGAGTCATAATGGTCATCAATGAGAAGATGAAACTTCTTTTTTTTTTTAAATGAATCACAGTAAGATATAGTTACAAAGTTGTTCATGATTGGGTTTCAGTCATTCCGTCACCCATCCCTTCATCTTGTACATTTCCGACCACCAATATCCCCAGTTTCCCTCCCGCCTCTGTGGCAGTGACTTCTTCCCTCTCTCTCTCTGCCTCTTTCTCTCCCCTTGCTCTCCTTCCCACCTTCCTCTCCTCCCCCCAGCCCCGGCTATCTGGGAGTTCTGCATTATGATTTGCAGCACAGGCATTGAAAGGCTCTCTTGTATATCCCTTCACCTCCATTCAGCACTCAACTCTTATCTAGAGTGATTGTTTACAACTGTCATTGTCATAGTAGCCCCTTCTCTGTTCTAGCTGCCCTTTCCCCCTCCCCTGCCCCCTTCCTTCCTTGTGGCAAGCTTCCACCAGCCCTTGTCTCTACTGTTCTTGGGAATTAATCTCAAACTATGGTTTTTTTTTAAGTGCAGTCATTCTATGTCTGACCCTCTCTTGAATATGAATCTCTTACTATTCTTCACCTTCTGTGCTAAATTTCAGTGCTCCAGTATTTCTTTTATTCTTTTTCGTATACTGACGTTAGTCACTAGTTATGCATAACTGCTTCTACTTCATTTGGTCACTCCAATCAAATCTGTGTCATTTGTGCATAAGGCTAGAACCCTTACTGCTTATCCAGCCCTCGATTCGAATTTGAGAATATTTAAGTTCCTTTGTAGCCTTTTCCCATTTTGATCTCCAGGAATTGCTTATTTTACTTTCTCAACATTGCATAGACACGTCCCATCATTTTCATGACTCGTGTATGGCTTCCGTCCTCACCTCTGTAGTCTGTTATGGAACTGTCCTAATAGACTTCTTTCCACTCGTGCACTCACAGTTCTCTACAGATGCCACAGTTTTTCTTCCCCGTCTGTACGCTCATGTGCATTTCCCTCTGGCTGAAAAGCTCCCCTTAAATGGGGTGTCCGGGATCAAGCCTTAGCCAGCCATGTGCAAGGCAGCGCTTCCTTCACTGTACTGTCTCTCTCTGGCCAGCATGAACTTTTGGAAATTTACTTTTCTCAAAACAGTGATTTAAGAGTTGTTCGTAATGACAGCTGTCTCAGGCATTTAGTGTTCCAACCCCACCCGTGTGACTTTCCCTCCACCAGTGCCCCCATTTCCCTCCCAGCCCCAAGCTGCCCTCTTAGGCACGTAGCAAATCCACCTCACATTGCTTGCTCCAGCAAAACTTAAAGAAATGGCAAATAGGATGATCAGAAATTCAGTGAAAACCGGCTTGTATTAGCTATGATTTTAACTTATGTAAGGAAATTAAGACAGTTCAATACCGTACAGTAAAATGACTTTTCTAATTTACATAAGTTTTCAACTCTGGAATATAAAATATATTGCATTAAATTTTAACTCTTGATTTCCCCCCTCCTTGCCCCCAGAATTGCTAGGCACCGTACTCCCGTTGTTTATCGATTTGCTCGAGCGGGAACCAGTAACGTCTCTATTGTGAGACTTGTTACTGTTTTTGGCATATCAATTTCATGACTCGTGTATGGCTTCCATCCTCACCTATAGTCTGTTATAGGTGATATGTCACGGGGAGCTTGCCAGGCGGGCGCGATACTCTCGGTAGCTTGCTGGGCTCTCCAGGAGGGGCAGAGGAATCGAACCGGGGCCGGCTCAGTTTGGCTGCATGCAAGGCAAACACTCTACCTGCTAATCCCTGAAATTAAACTGTCATGCAGACTTGCTGAATAACACCAGAAGTGGTCCTAGGGCCCCTTGAACACTGCTTGGAGGGGAATTCCCCACCCCTGCTCCCATAATAGTGAAACATAGTCCTAATTTACTCAAAAGAGAGCTGCTTCATCCAAAACTGGAGATTATTTCAAATGTAATTCCAATATGCTGTCTGGTTTCTTCCACCACGGTTTATGAAAAGTCAAAAGAGAAAATTTGAAACTAATAGTAGATTGGAACTTCTGGGGCAGTTTGTCATGGAGACAGCTCTGCTTGGCCGTCGTGAAAGTAGGGTGTTTGTCTTGCTCTCTGGCCTAACCAGACCACTAATCTGACACTGCGTATCAGCCCACCCACCCCACACCCCCAATCCCTTTCAGGAATAAGCCACTGAGCACCACCAGGTATGGCCTAA